CCTTTTCATTTTGTGGATTTTTGCAGCTCCTTCAATAGCGACTGCTTAGGGGTTTTCACACTGATCCTGACAGGTGACTTATCTCTGTATAAAAGATGTTTAGTTCTGTTCACTGGGACTGCTCACATTGAGGGGAAGGGAGAGGTATATCCTTCTTTCAGGATTCCAATAATATTCATTGAGATTACAGAAAATTACTTGTGGCCTCAGAGAAGAAGGAAAAATCCAGATTTTAGATTGCTTTTGTAGTTCTGTGCCCTTCCTTTACGTGTGCAGTGATGTAGCTCTCTCTATTTTCACACAGAAGGAATCCAGCTGAGACCATGTTTTATTATAACTCCAGATGATGTTCAAGAGGATGAAAAACTCATTTTTCTCAGGTGGTCAGAGAACAATTCCCAGTAAACTGACATTCTTTCCTCTCTAATCTGAATTCTGCAGAGGAATTAAAATTGTTTATAAGCCATTTGAAAGATTCTTTTTAAAAAATGGTCCTGGACTTTTTTACATTTTCAATTACTTTTCAATCTCTTAAGAACAGTCATTTAGGTCAGAGTAGTTAAACTGCTATAAAACAGCTGCTAAAACAGTCTTCTATTGTAAATTAAGCGGCAGTTTTACCAAACATTCCCATTGCACGACTACGCTAGAATAAACACAAATCTGGATTTTAAAAAACACTTAGGAGGGGAAGGACTAGGCCTAAAGTAGTGATTCATGACCTCAYGATAATTTGAGTCCATGGCAAAAATTTTAACAGGTTTTGTTACTAGTGGACCATGTCTGATATTAAAAAACAATACAAAATTAAGGGGAGATGGTCCAAACTGGAGCKCCACACCTCAGAGGGAAAGCCAAATTTCTGCTTGTGCTGTCAGTGAAGGTGATATATCACAGACATAGCTACAGCTTCTGAAATGGCAGCTTCTTAAAACTTTGTCATCAAACCAGTTCATTTCCCTCTGTTTAACCAAGGGAATTATCACAGCATGATGAGTTATGCTCAGCTACACACTGACAGTAATAACACTTAGCACTCAGAGCAGTTTTCCACCTCAGAGTATTAATGAATGTTACTCCTGGGACATCCTGAGGAGGTGGCAGTCCTCAGGGTGCCAGAGCCAGCTAGGTAAGGTTGGTGCACTGATGCCAAGTGGGCATGGGATGGAGGCGGGCAGAGGAATCTGTAATCTCTCAGCTCTGTAGGCATTTGCCCTGGGTATGGATGAACTCTGTCTTTTCCAAGGCAGGGTGGGGTCTTGATCCATGCCATTAAGGACAGACTGATTTCAGCTCCACCTCTCTGGCTGTGATAGCATACAAGCAGCACAGGCACAAAGCCCACTCTTCTTCAACCCTCTTTACCTTCCCTGTCTGAAGGAGCCAAATTTCCCTGTCTCTTGTGTGCYTCAAGACCTTGAAGCCTTCATAGATAAGCTGGTATAGGATTTGCCCCAAGTGACTGAAAGCAACGAAGTTTCATTTTGTTAAAYTGCTTATAAATCACTTGAATTATCCTCCTTTCCATTTCCATAAAATAAAAATATCTGTAGGAATCATGATCCAATGTTAGGCTGGCATGAGCAGCACTCTCACRATGACACTCATGCAATCACCTGTCCCCAGAACAGGAGGCAGAGCCCCATGACCAGACTCAGGACAGCTACAACAAGGAGGTGTTAGCAATAAAAGGAGATGGCAAACTCGAAGTTTCCTTAATATCCATTTCCCAAAGCAGGTAAGGACTCCAACAGCATGTTACTGATTCTTCAAACCTCCCTTTCTAKCTCATGCTCTCATGGCTGCAGATCATGTTTCCAACACAGAGCCTGAGCCATTCCCCAATTCTACGTTTTCCTATCATTTCCTCATTTGAAGACTGTTGAAGAAGAAATGAGGGAAATCATTTTCTTGCTTCTGCTTTGTTTTCAGCAAAAAGCAGAGCTGTTCAGAGCACAGATGATGCAGATCTAGTGTCTGATTCTCGCTGCAATGGAAATCAGATGTGTGCTGCTGGCCTTGATGGAAATTAGTACCATAAAGCTGGCATTAGTGAGCAGAGGAGCTGCCTATGACCTGATCTTCCTCCACCAGCCCCTACAGGTGCTTTACAGAAGCAAGCCTTGTGAAAGCAGACAAATAATTTTGATTACATTTTGGTTGGCCATGCTTGCAAGTGTGTACATATGTGTATGCAGGGAGGGGCTACATAAAGACCAGGGCAGACTACAAATGGGAGCCSTTCTTTCCAAATTTTATATATTACTTGAGTCACAAAATATTAACTGCACCCAACTCGGTGAACTCCCTTCCCTCTTTGTTCATATTCACTCTAGTATATCCATCATTTTTGATTCTCTGCTGATTTCCATTGTTGGGGCTTATTTTCTGTGACTTGAGAACCTGAAAWTACAATATATATCTTTGTAGTTCATTGCACTAACCAGCATTTATTTTAATTTAGTAAGGAAACATTTGGCTGGGTGTGACCAAATAAATACTGAGTCTAAACCAACACAAATATACTTTGCACAAGGCTATAAACCTGTCTCAGAACTCTAACGATATTGCAAGTCAATGAAGCTTTAGTGTTCTCATTAACATGATTCCATCAGACCTCTATGTTGTGTATTATTAATTTTTAACAATAGATTGTAATATAATTTATAGCACTGTGGGGTAACAAAGGCTGGATCCTGTAGCAATCCAACCTTTTAGGTTGATAATGGCTTTAACACTGACCTAATAYTGAAAGGTGGATGAGTGCAGAGGCCATCAGACCTAATTATAAATAGGACAACAGGGACAAAGCACATCACTAGTCTGCATCAGTGAAGACAAAACTTTCCTTGAGAGCAAAGGGCACAGATCTTGTCACAAGATAATGAAGAGTTTGGCTGCTAATTTTGACACAAAAAAGTAATCAAAAGCTTCCTTTTAAAGGAATATATTAACGCGCTTTTCTTGCCTCGTGAACTTAATTTTKATTATGAAAGGAATAAAATACAGATCAGCTAATGTTAATCTGGGAACCTATTCCTTAACAAGCATGTATTTATGAAGAAAAAGCAAGCCTTCCCAATCTCTGTGGAAATATGCTAAACTGATGACATTAGTACCCTTGCATTGTTGCTCTCCATAGCCTGCTGATGCAGGAGAGTGAACACAAGCAGTTTCTGCTATGGGCAGGAGCTCCCAGTCCCTCAGCACTTCACCGAGCACTCATGACCCCATCTCCGGGCAGGAGGGATGCAGCCATGAAATGTGTTTAACCCAAGTAGGAGTAACTTCTCATGAAAGGCAGCACAAAACCATTTCCTGGTTTAAAAGGCATTCTCATCATCAAAATATGCATTAGTATTGCTTATACATATTTTCTAATTTGGTCTTTGTGCTGTATCTAGAAATACAGTGCAGCTGTAATAACGTAATTAGTATTTTCACTGGCTAAATTACAGAGCTGGCTGCAGAATAAAGCATAGTAGCATCAATATTATCAGTTAAGTATTATACAAAAATAACATCAATAGTTTTAGTATAGTCACAAGACATAATTTCCTCTTTCTCCATGATCACTTTAAATTGTGTCAGATGAGGAAACGCACGAAATCCACTGACTTTTAGTTCAACTCCAATTCTAAAAATTTCCAAGATATCTTAGGTAAATTTCTGTAGGTTATTGAACAATATTTCTTTCTGAATATGGTTCTAGTTATAAAGAACTTAAGTTCTGCTGCATCAATCTCTCATATGAATTTAATTTTCCCAGCACTTCTGTAAGTTAACAAAGGAGTGTAACAGATACTTCACAGATGAAGATGATGAGTCATAGGGATTTGTAATAATTAWCCAAGACCATAGAAGCAATCCTATGTCAGTGCAAGAAGTGGAACCAGTGGCTTTGCAATCCAGTTCTACTCCATATTTCCTTTTCCCTCCTGGTCACAAAGGGAGATCTAAAATTCCAGCAACCAAGAGATTGGAAAYGAAGAAGCCACCAAGGAAGAGGTCGAGACAAGCACACTTTTACAAATTCCTCACATGGTGAGACAATAGTCTGCCACTCCTACACACCCAGAAATCAGAGGACTCCAATTTATAATGAAGTTGAAAGCATCCCACRGCATTTTCCATGCCTTAACTTCCCCTTTGGCCAAGCTAATTCACAACCCCCTAGACAAAACCAAGAACTCTTGAAGATCTACTCACACTCCAACCACTTCCTAATTACAGTAACTTTATGCTTTACTTCATGAAATGAGGTTAATTTCCTCTACCAGTTCCATTCAACCCCTTCAGCATTTTGTTCATTTATTTGTTAAGTTGCATCTCTCCAGCAGATTCATCACTTCAGATGAGACAAAGCAATCCCTTGGTAAATCCCTCTGGAYATGCAGAACATATTATATGCACGAGAGTTGAACTCCTTGAATTTCCCCTTTTCAGATTCTCTAGGTTTCCAGTCATTCAGATAAAGAATGGAGCTTTTGTGGGCCAGTTAATCCATCCACTGAATGAAATATGGTAAAAGTTCTACACTTCCACATGTTCTTTCAAGGCCCTGGTTTACATCTGTAGATGTAATAATAACTGTAATAATGTAGACAAAAATCATGGCTCAGGCCCTCAGAGAAGATCCTTAGAGACTTGAGTTGAACAGTCCCATTGCTGCAGTCAAAGGAACAGGCAAAATGATTTAAGGGCTTACATTTATTTCTGCTAAAGCACTGGCTTAATTTTCTTTGTATCTCTTAATAAGCCATCTCTGTGAGAGGGACTCTTACTTAAAATGCCTGTATGTCCTAAGCTCCAAAGCAGGGACCATTGAGTGGTAAGCCAAGACAAACATCCAGAGGCAGTGTAAGGCCCAAGCTGCAAAATGAGCCTGTTGTTCATCTTCTCTAGCACCACAGTCACACACTCGCATGAAAATGGCATTTGAATGAATTAAAATGCAAATCTACATTTTATTATATGAAATTGAGACAAATGATACACACTTGAAGCCTGCCAGAGTAGCTATTACAAACATTAATATAGTTTTAGATGATGGCTTAAACCAAATGAAAGGATGGAACAGAAACACTACAGAAACACCTTGTGAAACACTACAGGAGAAAAAGCAACTCTTGCCATAGTKACATTAGTAAAATACAAATTAGCAGTAATTGTGCTGTGAAGGGCTAGATGTGTCTTGTGCAGACATGCACCTCCAGAGATGCCTSCAGCCACAAGGTGTTTGTGCAAGGCAGGGAAGCAGCCTGCCAGCAAAGAACAACTGTGGGGATCTCAAACTACGTGCGAGAGGACTTTGCACTGCCACAGCCTAATGGGACATGGCATCRTCCAGGGGTCCTGTGACAAGAGGCCACACAGCCACTGGCCCAGGCCAGAGCTGCCCAGCAGATGCAAAGATGTATTTATGCCAGGTCTGATTTAGGCTGTGCTCCACACAATCAGATCACTTTGAAGGTTTGCCTTGTGCAATCATTTCCTTTGTCAGGAATCAGAAAAAGACTGTGAAAAGACTGTGAACAAATTGTTTAGGCATTGAAATTTAACCCTGTGGAATCCTTACAGTGTAGCACAGTGTGACACAGCAGGAGCACGTTTGTCAGGGGACTGAAGCCTCTTTGCTCCCTCTGCACAAAACATATACATTAGTATTGTGAGCTGGAGTATCCTGAGCACWGGAGGCAGCTATGGGGACACACAGCTCCATGCCCCTGCTGCCTCCCATCTGCATGCAGCCCTTGGCACCACTGGTAGGGAAAATAGAGGCTTCAGATCCTCTGAGACTGTCTGGAAGCCCTTCCATTACATTTTGTTTCACAGATTGTATCACGATTTTGTTTCACTATTTGATTTTTAAATATCCATAATGTATGTGAGAAAATTATTGAGTATTACAACAACAATTGTTAAGAGTCCATCCCAAAGTTTTTCCACTAGAATCCTCGCATTAATAATGCGAAAATAGAAACACCAAAACCAAAAAGGCATTTGGTAGAAGCTAGTAAGTTCCAAGGCTTTTTCACTTAGCTGTGGGCTAAGGAAAGAATCCAGCTGGTGTGGATTCTAGACCAACATTCATGACATCAACAGTTTCTTCTCAGTCCCCATACACTAAGGTACTGTGCATCCCCTGCTCCTCCTGAAAAGCAGAATCTAACAGCACCAAGTATTTCACAGCAGGAGCACAGCCCACTGTAGAAATAAATTTTATCACAGGATAGCCCACCAATGTTTCTGTGAACTGTTGAAAAATAAGTGAATAAGAAAAAAAAAGTCATTTGGAATTTGGCAATGAAAAGCCATTCTAAATGATTTCCAACTGCAATCAGTCTTTGCTCCTGCTTTACAAGTAATAGATGAGGCTATCCTTCTTTTATAAATCCGTCCAGCTATAAGTTTCAGAAAGTAGACAAGTTTCTCTCCTGTGGAGTTTTTAAAATATTTTCTTTCCTTGTGGCTGCCAGTATTTTAATATCCCATTCCAGAAACACTGTTTAGTAGTTTTAGGGGGGGAAAAAAAAGAAACACCTGCTTCCCCCCCTCCCTGCCTCCCCCCCGTAACTGCAGCACATGAGAAAAAGAAGAATGGTTAGAACAACAAATGGTAAATGACGGTTACATATTACAGAAGWTTAGAGGGTTGTTTGCTGTGCAATACACCAGAGGAGTAAGCAGAATGTAAAAGTCTTTTCACTCTCCACAGAAAGGTAAAAATAGTTTCAGAATGTCCTACAAATGGGAAAGAGCTCATACCTCTACATTGATGTGATCTGCATCTTCAATACTTCAGTTCCAAATGTTTTTCAACTCAACTCTGCAGCTATTTCAGCTCTTGAAGGGTAAGTCCTAGGGCACCTTAGTCCCATCCCTTCAATCAGTGGGACCTAAGTATCCTCWGATTTCCTCTGATTGTGCTCAGAACTTTGCTAACAGTGTTCCTGCAGCCAAGCAAATCTCTCTTMTGAGCCACATAAATGTGCTGCTGACCCCCCCAACAGCAAAGAGCCAAAGCTCCCAGGGTCCTTCCTTTTGTGTCCACAGAAGTTCTGAGTTTACTCTGTCCTTCTCAAGAGGAACAACAATGCACAGGCCAAACAATGTATTGCTCCTTTACTCCACAATGTATTGCTCCTTTGGTCCATTAAGAATCCTGCCTTAATTAGAACTTTTGCAGAAGATGCATTATCTACCAGGCCAGGAGCACCACACATATCATGCAGAATTCAGCCCTTGTATCTTGATAATTTATTTATTTAGCTGCTACTAACATGTTTGGAGATGTAAAATCACAACACTTTACTTCCTCAAAGGGAACAGTAGGAGATATCTCAGTGCAGAAAGAATTCCATAATTAGAAAAAGTACCGGAGCCAGCATTTTTCCCCTCATCAAGCTTGGGAAGCTTTAAACAATATGCAAAGGCAAAAGGGGAAAATGGTAATAGTACTGAGAAGGCTAAAATTTGAATGAGATAACAACAAACCTTTCTTGTGGAAGGAAAAGGAAATGACTGATTCTAAAAATGCTTCTGTGATAAATCATCACCCCTGCATGAAATTCCATTCATATATGTGGCAATATCTGGTACTAATGTTAAAGAAAAACAAAAGGAACAAAAACTTAGCAACAAACTAGTTTATAAAGAACAAAATATAGCTTGCTGGAATTGCTGAGCTTTTTCAGTAGTTCAAACAGTAGAAGGAGATTTGAGAATCAAGCAAGGCTTTCAACAGCTGTATTTGTATTACAGTCATAAAGGCATACATGTGAAATGCAGCTCTAATAAAACACTGAAGTTTATAAAACTGGTTGGTAATGATCCACCCTTTCCAGAAGTATATCAGTATATCCAGGGGAATAATACCTGAAAGAGAAACATTTTTTTGTGTGTTAGACTACAAAGCATGTTCTGTGCAAGGTAATTAAACTATGTATATTTCTATTTATCAGGAAAAAATCCTAGCATTAAACACCAGTCAAGGAATTCTACAATTTCTCCCTTATAATGTTTTAAGAACCTGCTTTTCAACTTACATTATCATTACTGCTTGGAAGTCAGGTTTTAAAAATGTATTTAGCTTCTTTCAGGGCATGTAGGTAAGAAGCTACATTTTAAGAAAGAAGCTTGTTCAGCTTCAGTAGCCATAAGTATTGTCTTAACTAAGAAATGTACATGTTAAAATTATGGCCTTTAATAAAAAAGCATGAGTTTACACAGAACCGTGGGCTGCCAAATGACAACAGGCTGCTGCGGTTCATCAGACATAAGCACACACCCCAAAATGCATGTGAAGTCCACATCCATGCAAGAGACACTGATTCTGGAACAAAAAAATGTCATAGAGACCTTCTGTCTCTAATGCCACTCAAAGATGGACACTCTCCAGGAGGTTTTCATTGAGTAGGACTCTGTGATGCCATTATTGTCCTGCTGACATTCAGTGGGTTTTCCACAGTGGACCAACTACATGTATCCAATATGCAAGCATCAAAGCTGCATTTAGTTCTTGTTTTCCAGATTAAGAGTATCTGAAATTTAATACTGTATTATTCYAAAAACACACATCTCAGTATATTTCTGGGTTTGCAGCCATGTAAATTGCCACCTCTGAGCCCTGAAAGCTTCAACTATAAAGAGAGAGGAACACACCTGCATGTAAGATAGGCCTAAAATATACCAAAAAAAAATGCCCAATGCTTTCCCTTAAAGGAAGATCTGTTTACCTTGTATTTTCATTTTCTAGATAATTTCTGCATAATTTAATTCTTTTTAAACCTCATATTACTTCTCTGATAGTAAAGCTAACTTTCTATGCATTACTGTATTCAGGCTGCAAACAGCCTAAAATAACAGGTCTCCAGGACAAACCCAGAGCTGGATTCTATCACAGCTGCTGTGCCTCAGGCAGCACAACCAACATCAGGCAGCAGCACACACAGGCAAGCAGAAGATGCTCAAAGGGGCCTTTTGCTTTATTACATCCCAGGCCAGATGAGTAACCTTTTTTCATTTATGGGGGGAAAAAATAGCTATAACAAAGAAACATTTATAATATCCAGGAAAGTATAAGCAAATGTCCTCTTTCCCTCTGAAGTACTGGCTCCAGAATAAAATTTCTTTATGGCTTTGCTTTTACACATTTGACAGCCACTGGCTTTTCCTTGTGGAGACAAACATGGCTTCATTTTGTGTGGCTTAGTTTGTAGCTACTATTAACTGAAGAACTCTGCTGCTATAATTAAAATTGATGATGCAGATTTTCAGAGCCTGTAGAGGGAGTGCACGAGTACACTTCTGATGTGTCGATGRAGTGAAGGACTGGTAAATGGATATGTAGAATCTAGGAGGGCATTTCTCTCATTATTACAATTTAGGATGGTGACACTTTGACTGCAAGCTATTTAATAGTGCTTCTGTATTCATTAAGGGCAAAGTTCAACTTGGTGCAGACAGCTGGTGTATGGTCCTTTTATATAACACTTAAGCCTCGTGATGAGGCTCAGGGAGGAAGGGCAGCTGTGGGCAGACCAGCTGTGCAGAAGAGCCTCTGGACCCTCTGTACATCAGAGGAAGTTTCAAAAGAGCCTCTGAATACACCAGTTCAGACACACTATTACGAAAGTCAAGCATGCAACCAAAGGTTCACCAATACCTGTATTCTGGAACCTAAATAATCCATAAATGTTATCAAAATAAACTAAACTTGCCACAGACATTCATAAATATGAGTGGTTGTATTCAAAATTCAGAGTCCATATGGGCAGTGCAGGACTGACTTTTCTTCACACTTTCCTGCAAGAGCCTGATTATTTGGGCTTTGTTTACAAACAAAGAAATTTTATTCCAAATACAAAAAGAGAAAGTATTCTAATGTATGTGTCCAGAGGTTGTGTTACCACTGGAGCAATTAACAAAATGTTACGCTTTGATTTTACTAAAACCAAAATTCTCATGGGAGTTAAATTACTATTTTTAATCCTTTCTTTGTGTWGTTCCTGTGAAAAACATTTAACAATGTTATCAGTAGGAATTCTTTAAATTTAATTTTCCCTACCTTACTATTTCCTCTGGATAGCAATTGTTAATAGTRTTGATATATTCCTGAAGAAGTGACCCAGGTTCTGCATGTATTTCTTGAATCTTTCTAAGTCCACCAGTTGTTACAAAGAGGCGACGTGCTTTACTGTCATGTGGTAACACCTACACAGAGAATAGTACATTAAAAAAAATATYCTTTTAAATGAATCTGTATGTCACTAGGCTCAAATGTTGCTTATCTGTTTTTGATTTAGAGGACAGATAAAATGGAAAAATCAGAGAAACAACATCTGTAATGACTACTGTATTGTAACACCCACTTGTATAGGGGAAAAAACCCCATAAACCAGCCCTTTGTAATACAACAATGTAATTTAACATGTATTTGAATGCATAACATATAYAAAATAAGTTATTTCATATTTATCCTTACATAAATAATATTYCTTGAATTATTCCTACAGAGATAGTAAGATTGTGGAGAATAAATAGATAATAAAAACAGAACACTACCATGGAATAACAACAGCATCTGTTCCACTTAAACCAAGTTATTCAGGTCTTTTATGTCAATTCCCACAGTTTAATTGTAGAGCCAAATTTTATATCATTATAATGATCTAGTATAGATTAGTGCMTGAAAACAATACTGAGAATTGTTGCAAGTGAACAATACAGCCTYGAAGCATTACATGCTACTATTAAATTCCTAGATATTAAAATCCTTTAACACACTGTGTAGCCATGGAAGCCTTTTACAAACACACACACAAAGCAAAAATGTGAAGTTTCTGCAGCCAAAGGGGATGAGAAGCAGAAATGATCAGACAATAACATTCTGTGCTCCCTGAGTGATGCCAATATGCAGCTCTGTCCAGAGGACTGGAGGGAGGGAGGGAGAGAGGGAGGGAGGGAGGGAGGGATGAAGGGAGAAAGGTGGGGGCTGGGCCAGGCGAGGGAGAATGACAGTATGTAGTCTATAGGCCCATAGGGCTGCAATATTATTGGAAAAAAAAAAAAAAAAAAGAAAGAAAAAGACAGAAAGATAATGCAAGATGTCAGCTGCATCTACAGCAAAACCAGACGGGTTTAAAACCAACTCTGGGAGTTACAGATTATGAGGGCAAAAGCATTTTGCAAGCTTCCACACTGGTCAGACATCAAGCCATAAATTTCACTGTATTATTTGAGTGTAAAACAAGAGCCTCAAATGAGGAAGGGATTGCCTAAAAGGATGAAGGAAAAGAACAAGATTTYTTCCATGCATTTGGGCAAACAACCTTCATTTTTGTGGCACCTCTAGGCTGTACAAAATCAACAGACAGGTAAAGAAAAAGCAGGAGAGCACAGAGACTTCTTTCTATTATATGTTCCATGGAAGTGTCAGGAACAACTGCGATTTTTCGTTGTGGGAACTGAGCAGACGTCTGTTTTCACATATCTCCCACAACAAGAACTGCCAAGGAAGAACTAGCAAGGAGACAGGATATGGCCCTTTCCCTGCCTTCCTCCTCCACACTGTGACTTCCAGGCTGGATAAGACATCAGAAAACTCTCTTGGAAGGGGCCCTAAAGACAGAGAGTGCCTCTGAGACACAATCCCTTCCCCCAGTCCAACCTGAGACAGCCCAGAATTGTATAAAACCCTGAAAACACTAATGCTAAAATGCACAGTCCAGAATGAAAAACAAATARCACCCCACTTTGAAGCACAGCTTGGAAATAAGGCTTTTACTGTGCTGTAAATAAGCCTACAGAAGTAACAGATCACAGCTATAAGTTTAGGAAATTCCCAAGCTATGGTACAGGAGAGAAAAATGCTTTTACTACAAAGAACTTAATTCTAATAGTATACTTCAGAAGAGCAAATGCCATACAAGTACAGTCTAATAACGTACAGGCAAAGGAGAAAAATGAAACAAAACATCAGCTGACGTGAAAGGGCACGAAACCATTTCAGTAGTAAGTAATTCAAATGTACAGTGGATAACCAACTGCCATGCACTTGGCTCATTAATAACCCCAGTCAGCATGGAGAAGCAAAAGGRACTGGGTTCTGTGCAAATCTCCAGTCTTTGTTCAGACTTAGCAAGAAGACAGGACAAATTAAACAACATAATCAGGAATCTTCACTGCCAACAGCAGTGCTTCCAGATCTGTCACAATCAGAACTGAGTAYCAAGAGTGTTTTACTTGGCCATTTCCAGAAAGAACATCTCACCAACAGAGCTTGGTACACCCTGCTAACAGATTACACTGCAGAGTATTGCACAAAACAGCCTGTAGTTGAACAGGATTCTCAACATGTGCTGAACATGACAGACAGTGCAAATCTCCCAATTAGTTAGTGATTACTTACAAATTTGAAATATTTTGATTAAATTGTATCACTTTTACATGCTGCACTCAAATCAATAATGTAATTAACAACTACCTTTCAAAATTTTGAGAGGGATGAAAAAAGATTTGGAATTTTTACAATTATTTGAACCTGAAAATTAATCAGGATAAARGGAGTGAAGCCTTTATATTATTGTAAAATACCTGATTTAAGTCACTCCTGTACAGACAGCTTGTACTTTATCTAAAMCAGATGTGACTGGGATTTATGTGATACATTGGCTCAGCGAAAATATTTGCACGTGAGTTAATATTCCACTTAATCTCAAGAGGCAAGGAAGAAAAAAACACCTTGCTTATAAGAAACTGTTTTCCCAGTTTCAGGATGAATTATGGCAGATTCCAAATGAAACAGTATCCAGCTGTATCAGACAAAAGAACAGGATCCAAACTGCTTTTTAAGGGGATGCTTGAGGATAGTGAGAAAACAACTGACACCTTTAGAGCGAATTCTACTTTGGACAGATAGCTTCCTTACTAAATGGGAAACAATRAACATATTACTCATCAGGCAGAGCCTTTTCTTACCTTACTAAACTGCCCAATAATATGCTTCATAATATTGGGAGGGGCGTCATGAAGCAATGGTTCGAGTGCTGGAAGATAYGTGCATTTCTGAAGAATATTCTTTAAGGCTTTCTTAGTCTATTGAAATGCAAAATAAAATTTCTCTAGTAAGAAATCAATGAAAAGAACAAGAATTCATATATATCACTGAAATCTGATCAAAAGAGCAAGTTGATCAGAATTGTCAATGAGCAATTTCTGAATAGAAACTATGATATCTATCAGGTCACTTAATGAAGAATCAATTTTCTACTTAAATTTATTAAACCTCAAAACCTACAGTGCATCATATTATGTTATGTGTGGTCAAAGTAATGACAATTTTCCTTTGATTCTAGTGAAAGCTGGAGTAGACCCTTTAGGTAAATTGAAATACCCTAATAGGAAAGTACAATCAAAACACATTTTAAAAGATTGTATTTTAGAAATGGCTTACTAGGAGAGGCTGCTGGTCTGGGATTGTGACAAAGTGCAGCACTGTCCAGGCAGCAGGGAAAAGAGAGAGTGAAACAATTGTGCATTGGTACATATTTCTGAAAACAAACTCAGTGTTGACTGATACAAGCAGTAGTGACCTTCTTGAGCAGGACTACAGGTACAGCTAATTTGGCTTCAATATTTTTGGGACCACTGGAAATTACTATGTCAAAGTTACTTTATGGATCTGGAATGTAGCAYTTCAGTGGAATGCACAGAAGCATAGTGCAATATGGGAGATCATATCCTGTCCTATTATACTCTTCAGTTGATTCACTTACTGTTGCTCAAAAATACACTTTACTGAACRGCACTCTGCTAGCTCCCACAGAAGGAAAAACTGCTCTAAACATGAGAGTTRCATGTTTTAAAGAGCAGAGTCTTGATTAGCTGTTACAGTTTTATTACAATAATAAAAATGTAAGCAAAATTACTACAAGGACTATAATATTTTCTACAAGAGCTTATACTTGCAAAAAAAGAAGAAGATAATTAGAAACTAGTTACAAGAAATTACAGCATTTATGGGTCTATGCAACTCTGATCTAAACTGAGAAAAAAATAAGGGATTAGACTGYGGTGGCTGTGGAACATGATTTGGCATACACCATATGCACATGCATTAGGACCAGCCAATCCCCTAATAAACTACACAGCCTTCAGACACCCTGCACCCAGAAAAGCTGTGACTCAATGAGCACCAATAAAAACACATCTACTTTAGTCATTTTTAAGCACTTAAACCTCTTACAATTAATATACCATCCTGCAAATACTATGAATATACTTGCTTTCGTTTTAAGATCGTCTGAGCTCTGTGGGTCCACATAGATATCGAGCATTGCGGGCAGCACGTTTGCTGTTGCAACATGACGTGCATGCTCAGCAGTATGTCTTCCAATCTGTCCCAAGGCCCAAGCAGCTGCTGCCTTAATATGATCTTCATGTTCTTCTACCAAGCAGACACACAGTGGTGTTATTCCCTGTAGCATTAATCAAGAGCACAACCTTTACAAATGTAGACCAGRCAATGACAATGCGAAACAGATACCGACACTTAGAAAATTTTTCCCTATTTACACTCTTCTTCTATAAAAAGCTGCAGGGGAATGCATGCTAGTGATATCATATTTTTACATCATCATGATTAGCAAGGATTTTTAATAAATTTTAATAAATATAGTTAAAGAGAAACCCATTCAGTGTTCTAAGTCAGAAGGCAGTTTGAACAAACATGCAAATTTAAGGTATAAAAAGAATACACAACGTAATTCACGCCATACTGAGTAAAGGCTGCAGTTTTTCTCAGACTGAAAAGAGAAGAATTTGAGTGCATATGATTCTATGAAATCAGTTTAAGACCAGAAAGGCTTAATCACTGAGTCTTTCTTTTTTATTATCCAGAGCACTATATTTCAATTTATCAACCTCTTCTTGAGTCCAGTGGTCCATGTTTGACTCATCCAATCACTTCCAGAAAGGTTTCAGCTCTTGATTTGCAGRCATCAAGAGATGGAGATCTCACATCCAGCTGTTACTAAAGTTGTTCTGGTTCAGGGTCACAGTTTTTATTCTTTCTTCACAATTACTTAGTAGTTGGTATTTTATGCCAAAACACTCCAACAGGAAACATTTAATGCTACTCCAGGTAAAGCAAGATTACTAAACCTCTATCCCCCAAATCTTTTTCTCGCTCCATGAATCATTTTCTAGTCCTTTCTGCACAGTTTTCTGCTTTGGGTTTTTTTTTCCCCAAGATCATATTCCAAGACAGACTGTGTAATTATATATATTACTATTACAGATAGATTAATTTCTCTTTTATTCATCTACTCTTTCATACCACAAAGGACTAAGTTGTTGTGGGGTTTTTTGCCATTGCACTACAGCAGAAGACCACAATGAAGTGTTTGTCCAGTATGATCCCAAAAATCAATGTTCAAAATTCATCCTTTCCAGGACAGAGTACCATGGAATGGAGCTATCACTTTACATCATAACAYCATCAGTGTATAACTGCATATTGCTATGCCACAGTGCATTCCTTTTAAATGGTTCCAGTTTATCAAGCCCTGTCCTCAGCACTATGTACCACTCCACAAGCTTAGTTTCCCCTGAAGCAGTTTTTTTAATGGGTTTTGGGTTTATTCGGGTTTATTATTATTTCTTTTGTGGATCATTCATTAACATATTTAATTTCATTGAAGTTTGCCCAGATCCCTACAACAGCTCTCACAGCGGTTCCATTCAGTTATGACAGGGATCATTATTACTCTTCAAAAATTTAACACTTAGGGGCTTCCTCCAGAACTTAATTCTGTTTTTATCGCACTTGATGTCAAGCACTCACCAGCAGAAGCATATTTGCTCTAGGCATCCCTGAAAGACAGACATATCCAGAGAAGAAGGGCCTCCAGACAGAGCAAGCAAAAAGTGTCTATTCCTCTAGTTTTAAAATACAGAAGAGCATTTTTTTGATCACTCCTAATTTCCCAGCATACTATACATTACATTGTGGCAACTTTCATTTTTTCACTTGCATTTCTACCAGAAGACATTTCTGTCCCTCTGTTTACATTCTTTTGTTGACTCCACGCATACAGTATATTTTAAATGACTGACARGGTGTGAAAATGGACCAAAAATGTTAGTGAAATTATTTCCTGCCTTCTGTCATTAGTTAGCATTATTCACACCACACTACACCAGGCACTAATTTAAACTATTGCAAATATTGCAAATTCTACCTCTTCTGTACCACTACCCAGCAGAATTTATTTAAACCTGAAAATGTATAACTTTACTCATTTGAAATGTCACTTGCACAATTGAAACAAATGATATTACATTAGAAACTGAGGACTTTTCAAATCTGAACACTGCTRTTGCAAGGTACTCTAGCAGTACTAGCAGAGTCATGCTAGTACAATGAAGAACATGCCATTAAATGTATTTTTTTCAAAGAAGGTTTTGATGTAGCCACAAATAGTCATTTTAAGAGGAAGAAGACTATAGAAATTCAGTGACATATTCTGTACCCCTGCAATTGCTACACAGAAAAGTCATGCACTGTAATMCCAATTAATCCAGGATACTTTGTAAAAAGTTCAACACCACAAAGACACACTTTTATTGGGTGACCACCGAATTTCAATCCTAGCAARCAGCAATACTAGGAGAAAGTGCATTCATAGACAGCAAGTACATAATCCTGTCACAAAATACATTCTCTGCCTATGTTAATTTGTATCTGCACCAAAGAATACTGCTGAAGAACTACACGAAGACAACAAAGTGATAGCTAACCTTGGAGACAATCACTGCCATTGACAGGTTCTCCGAATGAGCCGCCACATAACCAAGTGTCATGATGCCAGGCAGTCTGACAGTCCCTCTGCTGCTGTCAATACAATCAACCACAGCAGCAACTCCGCCTGAATTTACTACAAGCTGTGAAAGCTGAAAAGATAAACAGAAGAGATTAGATACTGTGAAGTATCAACAGGCATAAAGCACTACATCAGAGYAGTCTTTCAATGCATTGCTCCTGATTTACAAAATAAAGCTGGAATAAGAGCGATGTATCATACACTGCTGGGAGCTAAGTGCAGCATAAAGTTGTCAGGAGTGAGGCTAATTTGCTACTGGTTTTGATTGACTTTACTGCAAGGAAATCAAGGATCTGAATTCTTGATGCTGTATAGCAAGGAATGGCGTATTCTCAACTCCATCATCATACACCAGAGAAATGTGCAAATGACAACCTATCACATGAATGATATTGAAGATGCACCTACTGAGCCAGATACTGTTTCATCCTAGTGCCCCTTCATTCCCAAGCTAAAATCCTTAGCTCTGTGTACCGACARGGAAAGGCCCATTCCTCCTCTCACCCACATTATAAATTACCTCTATGGCATAAAATCTTTTGTGGATCCTCACGCTGAGGCATGAAGGCGGGGACAACTGTTCTGGAAACTCAGAAAAAACTCTCTTGGGCTGCACCATTCTGCCATGTTAGCATGCTCTAAGGGAAGTGTCCAGGGAACACACTTCATGGGCACTGGAGTCTGCCCCAGAATGTCAAATTACATAGCCTTGCTTATAAATGATAATCAAGCTATGCAACAATGTTTTTGGTTTTTTTTTTTTCAAAAGGAAACTTCTCACATCACTGAGGGACAGCAGTAGAAAATGTATGATATCAGTAAGGCATAGAAGTTAAAATTWTTTTTTTTCTTCCACATTTTTGGGTATATCCCATTTTCCCTACAGATTCTAGAGCAAAAGGAACATATTCTTAAAAGTCAACATTAAATGAACCAAACTGAGGCACGTGRATTCCCAATCCAGCTGATCTCTTTAAACATTAAATCCACCTTTGCCTTAGAGCCTTTAAAGGGGATTGTCTTCTTCATGAAACAGCCAGATGAAATTTTAAGTTATTACTTAGGAAAATCTGTTCATGTGAACTACAGCCAGTGGTAACGAGGTCCTGTGTCTGTCATGTGCACAGCCATGTGCACCTGGATGTGCAGAGCTCCTGCCGTGTCCCTCAGCCTTGCTCTAAGTCCCTCTGATGCTGACCTTCACATGAATTTTACTGCATATGCAGACAGAGCCAGAATCCAAAAGCCACAAGTCTCAAATGACACAGCTAAGTCCTCTAGAAATATCATTTGCCAGTCCATCTCCACTGCAACTTGTACTGCTTCACTACAGCTGCTCAGAGATAGACATCTCTGTCACTCTGAAGTCAGACATGGATTGTGACTTCCCACTGGGAGTCACCAAGATACTTCCTACTCTTTTGGAGAGCTGCTAGCATGGCCAGTTCCTCTCATATGGAGGATCTGGTGCTAGCACCTCTTCTGACTTTACCTGCAGTCCTGAGTTTGGGCTTCTGACTCTAGGATCCCCCTTTGATAATGATCATTTCTTCACTTTTTGAGGAAGTGAAGTAGCCTTGCCCATGAGGTACAGAGAGAAAGCATGAAATTTGCCAAGACTGTAAACTTTTAACACCAGCTTAAAGAGTGGCAAGCTGAAGAAACTTCACAATATTCATGTTTAAACACTTCTCAGTTGTTAATATCATGATTTTGAAATGACTATGCTCAGCATTAGTGTGTTCCAAATACATGGCTTATATTTAATTCCAAAGTCATATTTAGAGCCTTTTAATTATCTCTGTGGTCTGGMAGATTAACATAATTATATGGTTTTCCTATTTATTTTGTAGTGACTTTGCCAAAAATCCCCACCTTCCTATGGGCAAAAACACTGTAAATGCAAAAAATGTAAACTCAAATTACAAACTCAAGTTACCATCAGGTTAATAACGAATAAGAGAATTTTTGACCTTTGCTRTCATTGGAAAAATAATTAAAATGTGATCCCAGCACCCCTGAAGATTTTTTTAAAGACACACACCATCTATTATTGTTATAGGATGATCTCRCAATTTATTAGCTGGTATCATGACTTCTGTGAGGCTTTTCTCATAATATTTTTAATATCTAGGACTGACAGTATTGTCAGCCAAGAACTCCCTCTCTGTGCTGATATCTCACAGAATGAAGTAGCTAGGTATACATTTTATGATTCCCAGTTTCCTAACCCAATTCATATTCAATACACATCTCACAATATCAGCAAGCATTTCCATATTTTCCAATGAACATGCCAAACAGCTATTTGCCCTCCCTTTCGAAAAGCAAATGACAGAATAATCCTGTATTTTATTTAAAGTGTAAAATCTAATGATATGACCTTGTATTTGCATTTTCAAGGTTTTACCTCRGGCGTATGCTTTGCTATCTCTCTAATTAAAGTTGCACCATTTTTCTTGACATATTCATCTGAGTCCTTCAGGCATGTGAGCACAACTGGGAAAATTTCTGCTTCAACCACCAACTCTGCAAGATCCACTGAATGCTTTGCTATTTGGCTTAGAGCTGACAGCACCTGACGCTARTAAATAAAAATTGTTATAAAATCAATAGTATACAAACATCCCACAACACACACTCCCCCTGCACACAAAAATCTATTGCATCACAGAAAACAAAGCAGGATAGGGAAAACAATTACAGCTATTTTACAATTCACTGRGTCAATTCATCCACAAATATAATGGCACAGAACATTCACTGGTCCCTGAATAAAAGTTTCKCTTTTGTTTTACCCCATTCAAAAATAAAAATATACATCCATACAATTTAAAACTGTAATTTAAAATTTAGTAAAATCTATAGCAAGTGTCTTTATTTGCATAAGTTGGATCTGTCAGAACTTATATTAAGAAATTTTTGTGGCATTTTTATGTTATCTTCTGTTTGTTAGAGCAAGACTGAAAATTTATAATAAGAAACAGTTTTTTCATCAATTAAACTCTAGTGATTAAACCTTAGCCAACAGATATTCACATCAGATAGTACATTCTAAAATACAATAATACGTTCACTATTAACTGGCTTATCATATAATCTTGAGTATGCAAAATYTTTTTCGTAAATGAAATGTGAAAATTTTATCTATTAAAAGTATCTGTTGCGCTCTTCATACACTACATATTTCTAAAAACACCCCACACTATTCACTCTAAACATTAGTTTAGCTGTTTCTTACAGAGCTGCAGTTTATCCACTAGCTAAATTTGCAAATATGTTCAGAATTCTTTGTCACCAACTACGCAGTTACATTTTGTTAACACCCAAACCAAGAGCTTCTAAATAAATATGCACATTCGTGTCTTTGATTCAGTATCAAATAATGACTGGTAGAATGGAGATTAAAAAAAATTAAATGTACCTTCAGTTTAGCATCAGGGTTCAGGATCATATGAGCTAAGTGAGCGATAGCTCCTGCATCCACTACTGTCTGCGCTAACTCTGGAGAATGCTTTGAAATATCACTGAGAGTTGAAGCAGCAATCCTTTTCAAAGCAATTTCTGGCTCCTGGATACAGAGCACTAAAAGAGGAACAGCGCCTGCATCCACCACAGCTTGTGACAGTTCTGTAGGTCCAAGCAAAGTAATTAAGTGAGTATGGGTGACTGACCCTTGTGCAAGCCATTTTTCACCCTGACAGATACAGCAAAGGAAAAAGGGGAGGGTGTAGTTCACTGTCTCGACATCTGCATTTCAAATCAGCCCTCCTGGTTTCATAAACCGTGTGGACCAATCCACAACTGAAAAGAATGCAGGTCAATAGATGGACCCCCATTTACATGCACACATTTGAGGTAGATTAGGCTGAAATGGTTTGTTATTCTGTTTTCTTTTTCTTTTTTTAAAGTAAGCAGATGTCAGCTGTTTAAACCCTGGCTATTCTACACTGATCAATAGGAAAGCATTTTATGCATGGCTAACAACAACACAGAAAGCCAAAGTACCAAAATTTTACCAACCAGCTAATTAGAGAGCATTTTACCCTCTTTAAATGATAAGCAGATATTAGCATAGATCAAATGCCAAAAACAAAAATACAAAAAAACATACATAAAAGATTTATCTTACATAAAAGATTGGAAAAATGGAACTTGCTGATCAAAACTGGTCTTTGCTACTATGCATGGGAAGAGACAGAATTTATACCTTAATGGCATGAAAATGTTATCATACACAATTAGACAAATGAGAAATATCATCAGTGATATTGTGTGTCTGAGATTAGCACAATATCCTTAACTAACTGCACCTAAAATTTAAAAAAAAATCTGAGCATGTGATTAGCTGACATGGACAAAAATTACACTATTAGAAATTCATTAGCTTTCTCTGTGTATGCAGCATTAATCACAGTCCTAAAATGATAATTACTAGATATCAGAAGCAAAATTAATAATATAACCAAGCTGTGCTATTTTAAAATACTGTGGAGTTGAAAAAGCAGTAAAAATCATAAGGGATTCAATAATCTATTAGGTTCTTCGTTCAGTTTTGCTACACCTTATTATGCATATCCATTATTATCTTTAACATTTATCTTGACTTACAGTACCATGGCAACATATGGCTGTTGTATTTCAAGACTCTAACTTAGCTTTTGATTTATAGTCCATCCATAAAGAGATTTTCATACTTAGAAAAATACAGCATACTTCATTAAATATACATAGACTAATATAGTTTTTCATGAAATCTGTAAGTCATGTCATTATTACATTGTTAATAATCAAATAATGTTCCAGACCAGATTTGTTTTCAATTAGTGAGTTATAGCCACACACTGCAATACATGTGATAAGTCAAATATTTACACTGTATGTTATTTTATGCTACAATATTTTAAAGAAAATATAAATATTCCAGTTTTTTAAATTAAATAACAGTAATGTTTAAACTAATACAATACCCTGCAATAAGCTCAGTTGGTTAAAGCATGGTGCTWATAACAGWAAGRTTCTGGGTTCAACCCCAGTACAGGCCATTTCCTTAACAGCAGGACTTGCTGATCCTTGTKGGTCCCTTCTAATTCAGAACATTCTATGAATCTGCAAAATTAACTCTACAAAGTTCATTTTTCAAATAACTGTCTGAAAACATAGTGTGTACATCCTCAAAACACACATAAATCATAGGATTTCAAGAAAACTAAAATGCTGTATCTTCAGTTTTACAAATTTGAAGTAAAATGTATCCAAAGTATTTGCAAAAACGAATCTGTAAACCAGCTAATCAATGTAAATGGTATAAGATGCAGTCAGCTTTTTGTGTAAAAAGCCATCCTCAATTTCTTCAGATTGTGTTTTGCTACTCTACACTGATCAGCAGTCCAGATTAACCTGTCCGATTGTGCCTCAGAACCTCAGACCAACCAGTTCTATCACCCACAGTCTGCTGGGAGATGTTAATATCAAGAATATAATGTCACGAGGGATACAGTACTAAAAGAATGGGCTTCTTTGATGTCTTATGAGCTAAAATCATGAAGTTCAAGCAGGGAGAGAAACAGCAATACCTTCAGGTCACAGCTACACACGGGCGTGCAAAAGAAACCATAAAAATTACTTTAAAGAAGAAACTAAATCTGATTCAATTTATATCAGCTCTTGCTGTTAGAAGTCTGATATCATTTAAATACTGATGGTTACTGTTGGTCATGGGTAATTAAATGGTTTTTCTTCCAGTGGTGTTTATAAGGTTCATGGCTAATAACTTACCACATGGAGGGCTGGACCATGTGTCAAGACAGACAAGTCTTGAATGGACTGTCAGAAAAACAGAAAAGCTGAGGCAGGGAAAAAAGAAAATACAGAACTTCCCATCACATTTCCCTGCAAATTCAGCCCAAAATTACAATTCTAAGTATTAATGATTCTATTATAAATTGTAATCCTTTCTTCCTCAAGAAAAGGCTCAATTAACCTTCCTACTTGGTAGAACATCTTTAATTCAGACTATACACCAAAGTATTTGTGAAACTTTGCCATCCAATTAGAAACACAGAGGTGGGAAAAAATRAAAACTGAGAAGGAATTAGAGGAGAAAACAAACTTGTCTGGAAGAAATTTTTGAAACCAAATATTCAGTCCAAAAAAATTAAAATAAATGGAACAAATTACAAAAAGACTTTTCCAAATACTATGCCAAGGCTATATTGTAAGGGCAAAGACAAGACCCATAACTGCAAAGAAAGACAGCAGACAAAAGCTGATGTATGAACCTCCCTTATTCCACAAAAGGTTATGAAAACCGAAGGCTTGGAACTCACTTCAGGGTACAGTTCAAGGAACCTGTCCAAGTAYATGATGATAAAGTCAAACTTCTCTCTACAGAAGTGGAAGTAGGAAATGTAACTCCATATGTTCAGAGACAAGAGAACTGTGGCTCAAAAATTACCATAAATTAATTGCTTTCACCCAGCTCTACATGTGGAAGATTTTAGTTAGTGGAGATCCTGCAGGCAAGATCCAAATGGATGTAGACAGATAATAAAGATGATTTTGGAGTCTGAGATGCCACCAGTTCAACTAGAAGTTGTACTAGAGTTGTGCTGTTTTGTGTCAATACAAAAGTAATCTTCAGGGACAAAGAAATTAATTAAAATGAAGTTGCAGCTTCGTCATGAGTTTATGTGATCAGGAAAGACAACAAGGAGCAGTCAAGATCCTACCTACACACCCACTGAAARCAATGGGAACTCTTACAGCATTATTCTAAACTAGTTCAAGGTGTTTAAAAAAACTCCACATTAATATTAACATGTTAGCAAAAACAGTATGGATTAAAAGAATATAAAATAATAATATAAAAAAAAAAACATAAAATAAGCTGAGGGAAAAAATACGAATCTGAGAAAGCAAATGTGCAGGACATTCCCAGAGAAAGAAAATCAGCTCAATATTATATTGACAATACACAATATTATATTCATATCGTGGAGCAGCAGCAAAACCCCTGGCTGGAAGGAAATGCAAGTTTCAGTTCACACCACGGTTCTCAAACAGACCCTGCTGTGGTAGCAGGTGCATCCACAGSAAACAACAGGTTTTGACCAAAACAACCACCAATACTGTATTTTTCTGAGGACGGTGTGATCATGTCATGGCCAATAGAAAGACTCTAATTCCCACCAGTAGCCCAAAGGCTGCACTTCAAAATCAGAGATTTATGTAGGCCACTACAACCATTGTGCTAAAGATTCCACTGGAACCAGTAGGAAAACCTTTCATCAAGAGGGTGGAGGTCCAGCAGGAAGCTGGATTAGGGATCTCCCAAGAACCTTCCAAGCTGAGCTATGATTCAATGTCTGACAGAAAATGACCAAACTCTGCTCTCAGCAATATGTTTCAGTACAAACAGTGCTGTTTACTTTTGTTTTCYTACTAATTTACAATATACTGAAGCRGGTATGAGATARTKAATAARTTACACCTTTAATGTAGACAAAGAAAATGGAAGCCAAATTATTTGCATACTTCAAAGAAAAGAATTTTGCACTTTAAAAATAACTGAATATGGTGTAAGTAAGACATTACAAAATATTTTTCATAGCATTTATGATGGCATGTATGGTATTTGAACCACTTTACACTTCTTTTTAAACACAAACAGTAGAAATCATGAATGGCAAAATCACAGTACATTGATCTGAAATAAAGCTCAAAGGCAAAGAAGGAGCAAAACTGCAGGTGTGGTTCCTAAATTTTGGAATCYGACCTGGCAAGATTTCCAGTGTTTTGAAACCTCATGAGACATTTGTCTTGACCTAAAATCTCACAGTCCTTCTGAAGACATCTGTTCACAGAAGAACTGCATTTTAAGAGATTATTGTATGAAGTCAGTATAGAACTTGCTAACCAAAAAATGTTTTCATCAGGGGAAAAAAGAAAAAAAAGTCTTGATTTCTCAAAATGGAAATCTTTTCATGGGAACATACAGTGCAGTTCTGCAGTTCTGAGACTGTAGCTTTACTAGGTCATGGATGAAATTTCTGACTAAAAGCAGAGAGACCCTCACCATTGCAAACAGTTATCACTAAATGCTGGGAACCTTTGATTGCACTCACAAAGACAGAGGTTCACATCCCATCCTGCCTAAAACAGATCAGGACTTTAATCCCAGAGATAGGCCCTAATTATTCAACTTTTCTTGCTGGAGCAAACGAATCTCCCCTACACCCCAATCTTTTCAGGAGAGACAAAGTCCTCCCAGTTCGGAATTGTAGCAATTTTCAAAACTGAAAAACCTTTTGTGGCTGGGGGAAACTRTTTCACACCCAGTTCTACTTTTAGAGTTAAAGCTGCATTATGTGTCCACAGACAGGCAATGACAGAAAATCATAACTGCTAAATTTTGTCAACACAAGCATGTCAGTCTAACCCAGAGTTTCTTGAACAGCAAACACCAGCTACTGATATGAACAAGTCTCTGTATCCCATCTCCAAAAATATCCTGTTGCAAAGGTATGCTTGTAGCAATTAAACATTTCATGCACAGAGTGATTTTTTTTCAGTATAACTCTTCTATTTTCTAAAGAAAAACTCTTCTACTCWAAAATAATCATTTTAGAGACATCCTGTAACTATGTTATAAAGAAAGGTAAATCCCCTAAACTGTGTAGCTGGGCAAGTTTTACAGGGATCTTTTGGTGGGTTTTTGTTGGCGTTYGGGGTTTTTTTAACTGATTACATCTAGTGATCTGTCTATGTCCTGATGCTGCAGCTTGGTAGCACTCACAATTTCAACCTAATTTCTGAGAATGCTGTTCTTATTGTCGTTGTAAATTGACATAAGGAATGCACCCATTCACCATCAGCAAATAAATTATTCATAACCATGGAATAAAAATTTGTACAAGGAATTTGTTGTCTTCAACACCCCCACATCACCTCCATCTTTGCAGACAATGCTGTCACAGAGTGAACTGGATCACCCTAAAGCTCAGTCAGCATTCATGCAGTGAATAGCATGAAGGGCAATTGAAGTGAGTCAATATTGATTTACTGACATAACAAAACTGCAGAAATGTTTATGTTAAGAGTAACACAGACACACACATGCTACACACATTTATACAAATGAAATATCTTTCAGACAGAAGGAACAATTATTTTCCACCATGGGTGGAATTTAATCTTGGTGACCAAAAGATAAAAGATCTTTACCAGAGAGGTGTCCCAAGAATTAATTTGTCCCCAGAAAATGCAGTCTGTTAGACAGGTGCTAATAACTCTGGAGACTGTCCCAGTAAGCTAACCCTTAAGTGGGAAGGGGGAATCTCCCATGCCTTCTGCAGTACAACATTCTGTATCGGTTAAAAAACAAAGAAAATCACTTCCAAAATCAGCCTATGTACATTTTAGACCCAAAACCATGAGTTAATGTTGTGATCCTAAAATTARTTTAACTTTAAACAATATGAATCCTAACCATTTCTCCCACCCCTTCCAGCCAGCAGTTTCTTCTCTCAGTTCATTCATTCACAGCTCTAAAYTTTTACTTGAACTATATAAATAGCTGGTAAAAGAACTATCAACCACGTGGATCAGCTTTTAAATAGCAACATGACACCRCCAGTGAGTTATACAATTGCCTGTGAGACAGCAGTGAACTGCTCAATATTGGATTCCTAGGATCTATTCCTGACTCTGAGAGTAGTGTGGTCTACRGGCTAATGATAACATAGTCAGTGCAATAAATTTGGCCTATTTATCCTGCAGACACTGCTGTTAGCTGAATGAAACTTGCTTCTCCCTAGGCTTCTCCWTTCTCCTGTGTTTACAGAATAAGAACTAATGTGAAGCAAAAGAAACTTGGTTCTGCAGTAACACTTACACAATATATAAAGATTCAGAAATCTCTTCATGAAGAGGAATAAAGCAGAGTGTCCTTTCCTGGCCACAGGCCTAACACCTCTCCTCTTAAAGCATCTCTCATAASTGGGCCCTGCTGGTGTCAGGTATGCCAGTTTCCCACAAAAAGGCACAGCATTGTTGGAATGGTGCAGTTACACTATGGTTTTACCCCAAATTTAAAATTTTATAACAGTAAAGAAGAAAAAGCATATTTTTCTATTTATCAAAATAATRCAGTTTATTGTAATGACCACATAACATTAAGCTAAAATATAACACACATGAAACTTGTTACCTGGATTGTGTCGGGCAATATACCCACATGCCCAAGCTGCACCTTCTTTGACTCCAGGGTCAAAATCTTCCAAGCAAATCACCAGCACTTCCAGTGATCCACACTGAACTACTGCATGAGCTAGCTGTGGAGAATGTTTAGCAACTGCTCTTAGCACAAACGCAGCTGTTTTCTTGTAGTAACGCTAGACAAATCAGAAACAAACAAACAAACTTTCACTGACATTAGAAGTTCAAAGCATAATATAGAACAGACATGCCTAAATTGGACTTTTTTAGTAGAAGCAATATCTCATACAGATCCAAATCAGGACCACTAGACATCACACAAACAATGACCCAACAGTTCTTTGTGACAGCTCATGATCTAAAATCTGCAGTAAGTGAATAAACAGAAAAAATCAGAGAGGAAAGAGGATATGGGAAAGAGATAGTAGTCTAGATAAATTTAAGTGAGTAGTGAACAACAAGAGCTGCAAAAATAATAATACTTAACATATTTAACCAGATTACATATGTTGTGCAGGGCAAGCTCCTAAAATAATTCTACCCATCTGTAACACTTGCAAGGTTTTACACTTTCTAATATAGATACCCTCACAACACCTCTATAAGAAAACATTACTTACATTTACAAAMAGCAACTGAGACAGAGATAATTGGATCCAATAAAAGAGTTTATGATCTGAATCCTGAAATGCCTGAATATTGACTAAAACACACAACTAGGATACTGAAAACCCATCCCATCAACACCCATTGTGACCAAGCAACTTGCAATTTTATTTATTGTGTCTTGCTTGTGTCCAGAAAAAGCTGACTTTGAACAGGACCAAGCACCTTGGCACTTTTGTCATAACAGCAAGCAAAGTCTAAGTTCATATCTCAATTCTGCCCATCTCCCTCAATGCTGGACCACATATGTGTTTTCAGCGTGTATACATAATATATGGCACTGCACACATCATGGRGTTCCCATGTAACCTGCAGTAATGATTTCTTCTAAAAGCACAGTTAAGTCTTCCCTCAAAGTCACATTTCAGTCTTCTGCAGTTTTATAACCACCAATAGGGTGTGAAAGTTGAAGATTAGGTTTCTTTTACTGCCTTACAGTTTCACAATCTAGAGCCCAATAAAAGTACTCTGGCCAGAGAAAACCGTGTTGTGAGAAAGACAGTTCTGCTCCCACATGAAGGGGCAAGACTCATGGGGGCACAAGTAACGCACTGCTATGTCTGTATGCCTGGAGAATGCCCTCCAGCCTGGGCACTGACAGATCATCCCTACGGACAAGCTCTAGAGGGCTCTCTCCCCGTATGCCAGCTGGCTTTGGTCTCATCCCAAGACGCTTGATTCTCCCCTGCTCTGCACCAGGAGCCTGSGCACTTTACAGTGCTAGTCCTACTGTCAAGATACTCAAAATTTAAACAGTGCAAAGCCCACATCCCTTCTGGATCAAGYCCAGAAAAACAAAGAACCACGTGAGTGCTTTTGTGCATCCTGTAAGGTGCCCAAACACCTTCAAAAGCCAGATATAAAGCACTAACGCATGGAACAGAGCAGTACCTGCAATGGGCCCCCAGGAAGTAAAATGTACCCAGGCCCACTCCCTGGTCCTACAGGAAGGTGACAGCATAACACCTTCTCCACCTAAACTCCTCTTTCTTCAAAGCACCATTGCATCATCTATGCTGCTGGAAATTGTCCCTGCCTTGTGCTATCCCTTAAACCATGTCCAAGCATGGCTGAGGAGTTGGATGGCTGGCATTGGCTAAAACCACATCAGAGAGCATGCTAATGATCAATGAGCACAGTCACCTTCCAGTGCTCCAACCTGTACCTTCCTCAGTTTACCAGTACTGATGTAATTCCTTAATGCCAAAAATCCAGTCTTATAAGTTAAGGCCTACAAGCAGGTACATTAAACATCCATCATTTACAAGCAAAGCATTAAACCTCATTTAGGGGAAACAGAAGTTAAGGGAAACAGTACAGACAAATGGTCAAATCCCTAGATAATGTAAGTTACTGTAAGTTTTGCTGAACTTGATGGACCCATAGTTGTTTACATAAGTCTATGTCTGTACAAATATGGGTATGTTATTTCTGTTAAGTAATTATGCTCCTGGCAAAGAAAAACACGTCTTTGTTTTCATTATTMAAAACACATTCTTTACAAACAAACTGTATTCACAGCCACAGTCAGAACACTGTAAAACTGAATTTTGTTCCATTTAATTGATAAAACATTGACCTGGGATGTTACCCGGCGACTGTTCTCCATAAATCAGTAGAAAYAGTATTCATTGTGTGCTCAAATAATCTCATCCTTAAATACAGATGTTAATACACTAAGAGTGAGTAGAATGGAAAAGGGKTTTTTGCCTGTGGGAAATGACAAACTGCTTGCTAAACTCTGTATGAACTGGATGAGTTTCCTTCTCTTGCCCTCAGTCATAAGGCATAGGAGGTTTCCATGACCTCACACAAGTCTTTCTGCTGCTTCCCCTAATTACAGCTATCTCAGGGTACTGAAGCTAATTTAGTGAGGATTTCAAGTTGTACAAGGGGGTAGTTTCCAAATCAGCAGAGGGTAGAGTTTTGTTTTGCATCTTTCCCTAAAAATAGAAATAAAATAACCAAAATGCTTATAACCTTGTCKAATGAAAATCTTTATTTTATTTTCATACTATACCAGTATCTTTCCATCAGAGTTTTTCTTTAGCTCTTTCTTTTTCAATATTAATTGTATAGACAATGATTCTATATAGTATGCAATAAGTATACTTACATCTTTGCTTTCCTCAAAAGATTGAAAATGAAAATATATAGTTTTCCAAATTATATTTCCATTGAAAATCTACTTTTCCTAAATCAAAGCTGCAACCTTTGACTATGATTTTGACATGACTGCAATATCAGTGCACTTAACCCTTTGGCTGTCAATTTCCAGCTGTTAGGAACTTTACTTGAAAGTATTCCTGTTAATCTAGGTTAGCATAATTGGAAAATCAAAGCTGAAAGAGACATAGATCTTGAAAAAAATGTGAGGAAGGGAGTGAAGGTGACCACCAGATTTATTTGCATTGCAATTGTGACTGTACTTTGTTTGGTTTTGGCAAATATGAAGATGAAAACCTTTCAAAATATTTTCCTGTGTCAGAGGTTTGTTATTTCTCATGCTACGGATTTCCAAAAGACTGTGTTTGGACATATTACTTCATTACAGAAGTTCAGGGGTTTTACATGGATTYTACAAGTGTCTAGTATTATCGACAAAACCTAGTCAATTATCACCACAGTCCAAACTGTCTCCTTTTTGAAAAGGGACTTTTCACAAAGCATCACTCAACATTTTAAAAGCATTATGGTGCAATGAATGTAGTTCCTATAGTGCAYTGAATGGTTATATGATATTTTAAAGTCAAGCTTATTTGAAGTCACAATACACAGTGATCTCCCAGGGGTTCAAACATACATTTGACTGTTCTGACTTCAGAACATTTAATGTCCGATTAGAATAACAGCAGATGTTAATACAGAAAGATTTCCCTTTCCCTGTGCAATAGTTAAAAAAATATTACTTAAGAGAACAATCATGCCTTACATTCTCCTCAGGCAATGAACATATGAGCTGTGGAAGAATGCCTGCCTTCACAATTGCCTCTGCCAGGTCCACGTCATAATCAGCAAGTCTCCCAAGAGCCAAGGCAGCAGTCTGTCGAATACTTGGGACGACATCCATCAAAAGAGGTCTCAGCAAACACACTACACCTGAGTTGCAGCGGCAAGAGAAAAGCCAATTTGGTAAGCAGAAGATTTTCTAAACATGTGCCTTTGCTCATAAAAAGCTATTAAATTACTCTTCCAGGTAATAAGAACATGTAGGAAATCCAGGTGTTCCGCTGAAACAGAGCCGGCACTGGATAGCACTGCTGACGTATAGCAATGTTTCTGCCCATTTTTCATAGGTAYAAAACAATTCTGAAATATAAAAAAAAGTCAAGTGTAGAAACAAGGTGTATTCAAGTATCTATAAAATACGTCTTAAAGTTTACACAAGAATATAAGGTATATAAAATCACACATAAAATGTATGTTACCGTGGAAATGCACATGGGAAACCCCATCTGGAGATCCTGGTGAGAAGACAGTGGCATGTCCYTCATTCATCATGCCAGCATAACCTCTACATTGAATTATACCAAGTTACATTTCATCTGTTATAAGCAATGACTGTTTTGAAGATCAATATCCATAATATACTCCAGACAGAAGAGCTGTAGATTTTCTTACCATGTTATTATTTATGATGTGTTTTCACTGATGAGTTCACAGTGTAGCAGCGAAGCATAAAGAATATGAAAGTAGTAGCGAGGAAAACTGTAATAAGCTACAGACTGAATGACTGGATAACAAATTGGCAAGTGATGGAGATCATGCAGAGAACCCAATTCCAACCTCACGTATCCAGTGATGGATCCCAAAGAGATTACTACCAACCAGAAGAAAGATCTCAATGTTAGAACAGACAGTTCCATAGAGATCCCAGCTCTTGCTTAGTAGTAGAGAAGAAACTTTACCCACACAAGTATACAGAGTGCTCAGGATTATTTGGAAAGGGGTAGAGGCCAAAGCAGGGACCATCACTATCCTACATTTAATACCCTCCACTACAGTAGAACTGAAAAAAAAGGTTCAGTGAAAAGGAACAAGAATGATCAAAGATGACCAGTTAGGGATAGAAATGAGATACAAATGGTTACATAAAAAATGTGATTTGTAAGGTCTGGGAAGGGAGAATTTCTTGTATTGTGATCCTTCAAATGTGCTGTCCCTGTAGAAGCCAGCRGCATGAATTAACACTTTGGAGCTTCATAGCTCAGCCAGAAAGCAGAGGTCTCTGACAATGGAGATGTGCTACAACAGAACACCGAACACTCAGAGCTACAGATAGCTTCATATTCAGCTCTCTCAGTCCTGTCCATTAAATTTTTTTTACAAACATTAAAATCTAGTTGAGTGACAGTGAAAGAAAACAAGACTTCCCTTCTCAAGGGCTCCTATGGTTATTAGCACTGAACAAAGGCCTTTTTGGTGTGACAGTGCCACAACAGGGGCATCACTGCCTAATGGCAAGTAACAAACCCCCAGRTGTTCAACAGGCACTCCATGATACGGAAAAGCTGAGGACCTCAGAGCAAGGAATAGTCCAAAGGGATGGAGGTTATAGCAAATTACACCTGTAGCATTGTTCTTTCCCTATAAAGAAAAAAGTAAGTTGACAAGCAGCTATATTCTCACCTTTATTTTATATTAAAAACAAATTGCTCCCAGCAAGAAGAAAATCAATCTAGAAGAAAATCAGCCAAATCATCTATGCATGGCTCTATAGGGGCTAAGGAGGACACACAGAAACTGATCATAAATGCCATGCTATCCAGTAACAAATTAGTAGGAAACTCAATACTCCAGGGAAAAGCTGCATTGCCATTAGACGTAYAGTCTCCCAGCATGTTCATAAGGCAAAATAACACAGGTTTCAGGGAACACATAACAAAAGCAGAAGAGTAAACTGAACATATGGAAACAGGTCTGTAATATAGCTGGGGCCTGCTTACCCTTCTGTTAAAGCCACTGGGAGCTAAAAGAGGCCTCCTGTGTACCAAATGACAAAAGATAGATCCTCCAGCATTTTAAGATCAATGTGAATTCATGTAGTACCTTGCAGAAATCACTACTTCAGAATGTGGTCATCATAGTGACATCTTCTCACACGCTCTCCTTAGCAGGTATGGTCTCACTAGCATGTCATGCTTCATATAAAAACCCATTACATACTTTATMGGATAAATTAAAAGTAAAAACAAACATACAAATTGGGGCCAATGTGCTGTATCATCTGTTATCTTCTAGCCAGTCATCTGCACCCTCTGTGGGAAGATATTTTCTTGTTCTTCCCTCTCACATCAGTTACATGGGTCAAACAGCTGCTGAAATTCCTAAGGGAACCTCTACCCTGTTTCTGTGAAGCAGGAACAGTTAAAAGTAGTTCTATTGTAGTTACTGCACAGATACTACATTTGAGCCCTTAGCTTGAGATAATATGAAAACAAAATTATCTAATAAGCGGAAAAATAAAAAAGAAAGGGGGAAAAGTAGTTTTACTGATATAAAAGAGATTGTTAGAAATTGTTGGGGGAGAGGGAAAGGAACACTTCAGCATGCAATGTTCTGACCCTAAAAAAGCCAAGAGCCTGATGGCTGAGATAAACCAGGATATGTCAAACAGTTCAATTCTGATGATCTCAAATCCTGTGAAATTTAAACAGACTACAACCACTTTACACAGGAGTTAGGTCCAGACCACACGACAGATTTCTGACCTTCATGACATACCTAGGCACTGGAAAGTGTAAAACCATATTTAACAAGGTTTACGTACTTATATGCTTTGAGTTGTTCCAAATGTGAGACTTATATAATTTGTATTTTCAAGATTAGTTGATAAAGTTTTCACATTTAGAACAGCCAAAAAGCCTTAAATGTGAAAATGCTTCCAAGCAGCATGCCCTGCTATGACCAATGCCTTTCATTTCAAGACAGTATAAACCAAGTAAAGTTTGGTGTTGACATTTAAGCATCAGCACAAAATGTTCTACCGTTAATTACTTTAGCTGGTACAACTTAGAGTGAGGAAAGAGGTGAAAAATAAAAAGCAAGTTACTATTTGAAGAAAGGACACAAGATGCTGGAACAGGGCTAGAAAAAAACTGTTAGAAATAATAGCAACTGTGCTGGTCCTCAAGGAGACTATATTTTCTTAAAATTATGCTTGAATGTAAGAAAAGGCAGTGGACAAATAATTATAATGGAAAGAGTTTTGGAGGAACAAGACAGAGAAAAACCAATTCCTGTTGCTGTACAAGCTTTATATTGACATCAAATTAACTGAGAATTAAGAGAAGTGTATAGACTTAGACTGTGCCTGTGCATTGAACATAATTAAAAGCTTTTACCTCTACTTCCCATCTTCTCTGAAAACCACTTTCTTTCTCTGTGTCAAGATATTTTCCATCACCTCCAATTATTCTGCAAGACTGTTTGAGGAGTTTTCACCATTGCCCTCATTTTTGCATCTTCAGCAAATCTAGTATTTCTTTCTTTACAGCACTTAGAAAAAAATAATTAATTTTGAGAGTGTGAAAAYAGCTGCATAGAGATTCTATAGTCTCCACTAAAACACCTATAGGAAAACCAAGATATCCAACCTTTCCTTCTATGACTTTTGAACTAGTGCTGAAAAGGAGAAATGTGCCTGRCACGGGATGAGGCTTTCCTGCACTGGGCCCAATCCAGCTCTTTGTTCCAGACACAGCTGTATTTGGTGACCTCCTCTATTTGATCTCTTCCTTTCATCTATACTGTTTACAGCAAAGTCTACTCCTCCAAAGAGGTCCAAGCCAGGATTCCTATCAGCATTTTTAATTAAATTCAAATGTATTTAACATTACTTAGAGCAGGAAAATAGGCAAGAACCTTCCAACAACTTCCTTTTATCTTGACTATTCACTCAAGTAAACAGGGCCCTACAGATCAGGGAGTAGTAGTGTCTTGTTGCTGAAAACTTTAGAACCCTTTGGTCTTCTTCTAAATAACTCTGTTGTGACAGAAGTAGGAAATTCATTAACTCTAATTCAAAAGCAACCACACAGAAAGTAAACTACAAAATAAGGCATTTAGACTATTGGACTAGATTTGTTTTGGAAGAGTTCCCACTAGCACTCAGAAACTGAGTAACAGAGAATTACTGCCAAATATTCTCTCTTACATCACAGAACCTTGACTGACCTTGGACAAGGAACGATTCCCCTTTCTATCTTCACTTTCCCACTCAAATTTGTTTCAAAGAATGACACACTTTAGAAGCTGAATCATTCTTAACACACACTTCTCAAGTGGAGCTGTTACACACAGGCCTGATGCACTTTCTTTTAGTCAGTAAGTGCTAGCTGCTGCCTATCTGGGAAACAAACAAAAAAAATCACTTAGGGCAGCAGCAGGTTTCATTTTTTTTCATTCAAAGTTTCTGCAGCAAACAAACAGCCACTGTTCTGGAGACAGCAATCTYTGCTTGGAAATTTTGATTTCTTGGGGAAAACAACCTGGAATTCATGCAAAATACTTTTATCCTCCTCCTATCCCCATCAAATCCTTGTCAAACTTGATTAGTCACAAATCAGAGAAATAACCGTTGGAAATTCTTTCCATTTCTGCATCTGAGGATGACTACTCCTACCTTATTCTCCTTTCCTCAAGGAAAATAATTTCTGTTTTAAAATGTGGAATAGAAGTCATTCTACACTACTGTTGTCTCTGGACACACCCTTCTCTTGAAGATGCTGTCCTTCTAATTTATGCTTTGGACCACGATAACATTTTCTCATTTTGTCCACTATCTGTTACATTTAGAACATTCACAGAGCTAACATGAGCACTCAAAAGATTCATCATACCAGCTTGATTTTTCAGAGCTCCTCACATCAAACTCAGCTGACTTGAAAAGGAAATTAAATAGAAATTTATTTCTGCCTCACCCCAACACCCTATCTTCAACTACCCCTTTCTAGGAGCAGCATAGCAGTGAGTTTTAAGTTCCCTACTTAGAACAAATTTCCCAGAAGAGCAATAAGGGAGAATTTTCATGCTCACTTGTCACTGCCTCTTCCAGAGATAGCAGAGAATGCATGTCTCAAGCACATACTGCTCAAGTGTGACTCGTCACGAAAAAGGACTCCTCACTGTGACAGCTCCACACACAGCACAACTACAATCCTTCAAAGATCAAAGGGAACATAAATACAGTTTAGTAACAGAGACTCTGGGTAATCAAGTAATTCGTACAGCAACTACCAGATGGTGTGGGACATAATGCAGATTTAGTTTGACAGTATCACTGAAGATTCCTGAAGGATCGAGGAACAGTAAGTTTCTCCTCCTTAGATGCCAGACCCTGTTTCTGCATTAATGAAGCAGAACTAATCCTGTTACAAGAGGACAAATTTCTGAAAATACCCCTCACAGGGCTATTAGTAGCCACCACGCAATCATGCACAGACACACCAAAACCAAGGTGGTCACAGGGAGCTGCTTCTTTTTAATGTTCACTCGTTAGGATGAGACTGAAGTTTCTAAAAAATTCTGGGTTTGACTTGAGAATTTCACTTGCAAATCTCCAGACAGGCCAGGAAACTGAGAGGTGTCTTGGAGCAGTTGAGCTTTCAGTTGATTGAGTTACCAAAAAACACTTTTAGTCAATCCTCCAGCTTCAGCTGCATTTATTTTCTCCTTCTCTGTCATCTCTCTTGTACTTTCTTTAAAGCAGCCTACTTCTTTCCTTCATCAGGCACCACCATGTCATCAAGCCTTCGGAAAAGCCACTCTCCATACCTGATCTGCTACAACTGCAAAGACAACCTCTTGCCTTTCATGCCACACTGCATAATCCTCTCCCACTTCTGCTGCTGCTAAAGCTCAGTAAAGCTTTTAACTCAAAATAAAAATAATTTAAATAAAAACCACAAAACCTAACCAATCAACCAACAACAACAAAAAAAACCCAACTACAAAAACAAACAAAAAAAAACCCAAAAAAATAAAACCCAAAGTTGTGCAGATCCTTTCCAAAGGAGGGTACATAAACCCCAGAGTTGAAACAGGCTACATGGAGGCACTGGAGTCTGTCCATGCATATCTACTTGCAAGGTCCAAAAGCTCCCAGTAGACTTTCCATTAAGCACTGTTCTATGAAAGCATATTCTTTGCTTTTATATAAAATACGGAACTACATCCTAAAATCCCTTCCCCRATTCCAATTACACAGGGCCAAGTGGGATTAGCCCCAAGAAAGGGGTTAAAGAGCTGATCTTGTAATATCTTTAAACTGAAAGTTGCAAGACTAAACTGTTTCTTAATCACAATGATAGCCTTAAATAACTCGCACAGTAAAAGTAACATTCTCATCATCATGTGTTCTAATGAAAGACAAATAAATAAAAAAATAAACAAATAATCAATCAAAAAYGAATGCCCAGAAGTAATTATTCTGATACATGTATTAATCCTGAATTGTAAATGCCTCTAAATAAATCAAAACAAAATGCACTTTCAAAGGGGTTGTTTATTTACAGAGCACTGCACTTCACAAGAAAGCAACGAAGAATTAGACCCTCGGTGACTACTTCTTTTATAAACATACTAGAAGCACTTCAGATTTTCACCTAAATCTTCCAAAAGACAGACAGCTGCCTAAATCACAGTGTGAGAACAAGAGCTCTCGTTATAGAGCTGCATTATAACCAAAAATAGCCTGTTTCTGGGATTTTAAATTTTGGAARCATGAGGGGGTGTGGAGCTGACTAATGCATTCCAGTACCAAACTTCAAGAGCAGTAGCTGCCAAATGAATAGATTTATATTTAAAGTCGTTACTATCAAAGTAGCTTCACCCATTAGTCAGTAGGCCTCAAGATACAAGACTCAATAAAATGTCTGTGATTGTTTCACATATATATTTACTAAGTGGAAAAGTTTAGGAGTTTTGGTGCAGACTTTTTTTCCCCAAGTATCTACTAATTAAACATTCAAATGACAAATCCTGAATTATTCATGGTAGTATTTAATCATAAGGAACAACTTTATCAAAACAAATCAGAGTTGGAAAACACACAGGAATGAGTTCTAACAAAAGGATCTCTCTGATCATTCCTTGCACTTTCCTGCCACCAGAAAGCTGTTAAGCTCCCAGGCACTAAACCCTCAAGACATTCCTGACCAGGAGAGAGCCAGTGCCATGCAAATGGGTCAAAGTCCAGGGAGAGATTCCAGTTCCCTGGTTACAACATCTTTGAGACTTCTGCTCAGTGGGAAAAGCAGCTCCAGAATTTGATGAGATACAGAAGCCTCAGAAGATGCCCTAASAAAAGGCAGTTTTCCTGTTGGCTCTCTCTGACCTTCTTTTCCACTTCCCACCTGTTTTCCTTACAGGTCATACAYAGGAGTCTCCACAATAATGGTACCTTAAGGTTTCTCAACAGTCAAGCCAGCGTAAGGAATTTCCACTTCTGATCCTGTTGCTTGCTCCCCTCCAGGCTGTCTGAATTTGCAACAATACCACTGCTTGTACCTGGTTTAACACCACAGAAGCAGGGCTTAGAGGGCAGTAAAGAATCACCTTTTCAACACTTCCTTCTTTCATGATGTTCATGGTGTCTAGAGACACCTCCACAAACAATAAAGTCTCAAGTTAGTATTTATTTTCCTTGTAAGCCATTAGGTAGCTATGAAAAGGGCTTCTAAAATGGGATCAGATGCTTTATTCCTTGAGCACTCATCTTCTGTTCTTATTCCAGGAATATCAATTGAGACTATTTATACAAGAGTACATCACAGTACATTTTAAAGATTTTTTTTCAAATTCAAGTGACTATAATCTTGCCTTCTGCTTCTGCGAGAAAAAATACTAAACCCTCACAACTTTTGAGATCCAACAAAAGAACYCTGCAAGGTGCCCTGGACTCCTATAGTTAATGTAGAATGACGGCAGGCAAAGACTTTCCTCATCTCCTTAAAACAATGGTCTCCATAAGGGATAGCTAGAATTCTTATCCACCAGAACAACAGACAAGCTCCAAATCCTTTTAAATATGGATTTATAGAGATACATGTATCAACAGACATCTTTCTTAAATCATTGTTCCAGCAATCCCTAGAATAAGACCATAAAAGGCACAACAATTATCTGCTAGAGAGTTATGTTCCAAAATATTTKTGTGTTTTAATAAAAGGACCAAATCACATTTTATTTGGTGGGAAGTTTAAAAAACAAACCACTTAATTACATATAATTTAGGAGGTGGTTTCAAAWCTTGTATCTAGCAAATCCAGAAAAGGCCAAAATGAACAGCTCCCATTGCAGTTATATAACTACAAAGTATTTTTAAAGACACAGGTGGGAAAGATGGTAAAAAATTTGGGGGCCATCCAAATAAATTGTAATAGCCAGATTTGTAGACATTCCCCTCTCTTCCAGCATCTGAAGAATGAAAGCCTATGGAAAAGCAGCTCACTACCAGAAATAGCCAAATAGGATAAWCTACACAAATGCACATTTCCACATTACTATCCAGAGCCTGGTCCTCACAAAATCAACTTCAGACAAACATTGTGTGCAGGAGAAAGTTTCAGGCCTCTGAACTGAYTATTTGTTCTGCCCAAGCAACAAATCAGTTTTGAGGTAAAGTTACCAACCAGATTATACAACAATAGTTCTTTTAAAAATACAATGCAATTACAGTTATCTTGGTGCTTTGATTGCTTTTTTAAAAGACAAACTTTCTACATTTTTAAAATGCTAAGTTGCAAGAATCCTGCCTATATGAGATCTCTCTCTGGGAGCTGCTAATACCAGGACTGTAAAAGGACAGTACAAATCAGGTACAAAATCAGGTACAAATCAGGTATAAATTATTCCTATAGCCAAGATGTTCCTTTGGAAAACAGAGATCACTTGTAGAAACTACAGCAATGGCATTAGCTCACCAAAAGATGGAAAACAAAACAAAAAAATCAAGAGCCACTGCAAGGTAATACAAAAGGCCTGGCATCAACATGTTACTCCCATAATGAAAATAAATRTTTCTTTAGCAAGGATTCAAGTGATAGACTTTTTAATAAAACAATTTTAATATMTACAATAACAGAAAGTTGCAAATATTTACACCATTRGTTTTCTTTTTTGTTTGCTTGTTAGATGCCACTGCATTTGAGAAAAGACTGGCAGCTTTGCTAGAWCTGGGAAGCAAGTATTAAAAACAAAATCAAGACACATCAAAACATAATCAATTCATGAATASCACATGGTAAACCAACCACTGATCTACAGCACATTTTCAAACTGTCATTCAGGTAATCAATTACCATCACTTCTTTTTCCTCTTTTAAACTCAGGAACTTTGGCCAAGCGGAGTGGGTCTGCCAGATGCCAGCAGCACAACAGCTGGTAGAAGTGCTCCCACAGCTCCTCTTTCTAAAAATGTTCAATTTGGTTCACGACATCCCATGACAGCAATATAACAAGAGCAAATCCCTCCTAAACTGAGCCAATCTGCCGGCAGAAAGCAYCGAAGAATTTAGGTGCAACTTGTAAAGCCAGTATAAAAATAGCTCATTCTAAAAGTAGGATTTCCTTGGCAACTCAGTGCTGGCTTCACCGGGAATTCCAGCGTCTGTACTTTACATAAAGCTGTATCGGAAGCGCGAGGAASTAAACTTAAAAAAGGTTTATACTGAGAAATTTTCCTTGAAATAAACATGAGGTCACAGACGGACATCCACCTCCGCACAGAGTCGCGGGGCACCTGCCCGCAGCTGCCCRGCGCGATTTACTTTCCCACCGCATCGAAGAACACTCAGCAAGCAGGGCTGGGGGCCAAATCCTAGTGGAAAAAAATCCCCGGAAACTGCGCGGCCAACGGGGGAGGAGAGGGATTTTATAAAAGCGGACCAGGGAAAGGCCGCGGCGGCCCGCGCTGTCCCCGCCCCCGCCCCGGGGCGCGCAAAACCCCGCGGCAGCGCACGGCCCGGCGCCGCCGGCTSTGGCGTACCTGCACTCTGGAGGGTGTCGATGCTCTGCGGCCGGGCGGCGAGGTCGGCCACCGCCTGCGCGAACTGCGACCGGCCGCGCTGGTACTGCTCGAACACTGCGGGCGGCAGCGCCGGGGCGCCGGGTCAGCGGGGAACGAGCGCCGCGCCAGCCCCGCCGCCCCGGCCCCGGCCCGCGGCCCAGCCTACCTTGCAGGACCTGCCGCTGGCTCATGGCGGCGCCGGCCGGGCTCCGCGCCCGCGGGGATTTCCGCGCTCTGGACGCGTCTCCCCGGCAACCAGGCGGAAGCCGAGCCGCGGGGGCGGGGCCTCGCCAGTGACGTCACCCGCCCGCCCGCCGCGCCCGGGCCCGCTCCGCCCCGCGGGGCTCTGCGCGCGGCGCTCGGTGCCCGTGGGGACGGGACGGGACGGGATGGGATGGAACGGGACGGGACGGGATGGGATTGGATGGAACGGGACGGGATGGAACGGGACGGGACGACCGGCGGCCCGGCAGGCAGCGGGTCGCACGCGTGTGTTACATGCTCCGTGCCGGTACAGGTGTGGGTGTCGGCATCTACGGAGGTTCGCGGGGGCGTGCGCACCGGCAGCTCCGCGGAGAGGGCACCGCCGCTGTGTCATGCCTCTAACACACACAGCGCCCATGGGGGTGTATCAACACGACGTGAGATGAAAGCGTGTACAGCGCACTCACCTCTCACCGAGAGCTGCTGCTCTCGGGAGCGCCGGGAAAGGATTGGGACGACCAGGAAACGCGCAGCGCCCACGAACGGTGCCGGGCTCAGCACAGGGACGTATCCGGAGCACAGCCGCCGCGCGTTCGCGCAGCGGAGGCTGGCGGGGGATTGTCGGACAGCGGTGCTGGGGCCTGCCCGCCCCCGCGGACATTTGGGAGCGGCGCCGCGGCCGCCTCGCCGGTCCGCATCGGTAGGATGCGCTGCTCCGCCGGGGGCGCGTCCCTTGTCCCGCTCCGCTGCTGCGCAACTTGCCAAGGGTCCGGCGGGCGGATAGGGAGAGCCCCGCCGCTCCGGYGGAATCCAACGAATCTCCCGGCAGGTCTTCTGTGGTCCATCTGCCTGGCYCCCGCTTCCCTCCACTCCCCGGGTGCGGAGAGAAAATAAAAATTAAAAACGAAAAATAAGGGCAGCTCGGAGCTGCTCGTCCCCCGCCGCGCCTTTATTCTTCGGGAAGCGGAATCCTTTGATTTTAGGGTTTTTTTTTCCTTTCTCACCAATGACGCGATTCCTCCTCGGGGATCTCCGCTCTTGCCTTGAGCCGCCGCGACGACCCACGCAGGGGTTTTTTTTGCGCCGCACGGGGAATAAACTTATACCGCGCAGAGCCGCGGAACCCCCGTCCAGCCGCGGAGCGCGGCGGCGCCGGGGCGGTATGGGCAGCGCGGACGCGCAGGGGCGAGCCCGTGGGCTACAGCCACCGCCTCCGCCGGGAGCCACGGGAGAAGTGCGGCGGACGGAGTGCCGTGCCCCGCTGGAAGGGAAGGCTTTTCTCAGATGATGCACAGCGCAGTTGATGATCTCCCGAGCGCACCCATCCGCGCAGAAGACCCGCGCAGCGGCAGCTGCCCGCCCCGCTCGGCCGCAGGTGGCCGGGAGCAGCATCCGCTCCCTCCGTGCAGGGACAGCAGCGCGGGAAGGGGCACGGCGGGGAAGGATGGTCCGGCAGCAGCCCTCTCACTCTGCCTGGCACAGACACAAGTTATTCCTGTGCACTATAATAGGGGAGGTTATTTTTTTTTTTTTTTCTTTCCGGACAGCATATCATTCTGGTAGGTAAGCTGCGCCTTCCATTTTTTTCCCATCTTGGTGTCCGGCCATAAGTTCATTCACTAATTATGAATAATTCTCTTTGTAATCGGTCGGCAAAGACATGGTTGCATCTACGAGTAAACACAACCTTGGAGGTYTGTATAGCAACTAATACAAACGGTGAGACTGGAAAATGAAATCAGTGTTATCAGGGTTTGAATAGAAATAGACTCTACATCTGCCCCAGTATCTTTTGAGAGCGATTCCCAAGACGCAGGATACTTGTGAACGAACGTAATAGTTAGCTCTGCTATCGATCAGGCTACTCCAAGTGAAATTGTGATCCACAACAGAAATTCAGAGTTAATATTCAATAAAGAATGTCGCTTGCTGTAGCCATACACCTTTGCATAGTGGCTTCAGGATTTCGTAAACTGGTAATTTGTCTTGCAAAGCTCTAAGTGTACAAAATCAGACGACTGACACTCTACAAACATATAATCTGATAGGTAATATAAAGCATTGTCTCATACCTTAAAGTTGGAAAGCTGAAGTTACTTAGGTGCCTTTTAAAAGTTTAGAAAAGTGTAAGAGAGACGTCTATGTTTTAAAAAGATCATGTCTATGTTTGCTCAGCTGAAAAGAGAGGAACTAACATACACAATATCATGGTCTAAAATGAGCTACATGTTTCCAGGAGTATTTAGTGTGGGAAAAAAGTACCTCTTTGAGCAAACAAATTAAACAGGCGATGTGCTATCCTTTACAAATAAAGGAGACAAATAAAATCGGATTGGTGAGAAGGTCGTTTGCCACAGAAAATATTTTGGGAAATTATCACCATGTGTACTTCAGAAGGGAACAGCTGTTAAACACATTTCTTTATACTTATTTCTGTTCCTAAGTTAAATAAAAAATAAACAAACGGTGATTAATTACTTCCAGAGGTTTTTTTTTTTTTTTTAGGGAAAAAAAAGCAGATGTGTCGATTACAGATAAATTGATTTATCTGTCTAATTAAGTCTAATGTTTGGATAAGAAGCAACAAAATGGACCCTGAGTACCATCAAGAGTTGCTGCTACACTTCGTTGCTTGATACTAAGTCTGTTCACATGGTTAATAATAATAATGAGGAATAAACACCATGCAAATGCGGTCTACGGAAATGTCACCGGTTCTCGCAAAAGTACTGAAGACGGAAAATCATTTATGGAAATGACGTAGTTGTGAGACTTCATTGCCTACTGCTGGGTTGCTCATTAGTAGGAAACCTACTAATGTATCCGCTGTATCCTTAAGCGGGTGGTGTTAGTAATGACTGCGTTACCGCACACTTCAGTTTAAAAAATAAACCGGGGTAATGGGCAACAGTTAYCCAAATGAATACTGTGCCTTCGCTTTCTGGTGGGTGTTCTTTAATCTCAGACTTTGATTCACTCGGAAATACACCCGGAACGGGGCGGGGGACCATCATTTTCCCCAAGACGGGGAAGAACGAAGTTGCTCCTGAGTTTTTTGGGTGATGAGGCGTGCCAAGGGKGTGCGTTTTCCCGGCTCGGTCTCGTCCCTGCAGGTGTGAGGCAACAGGTTACTCAGYTCCGAGAGCTGCCGGGTCCCCCGCGCAGAACCCCCCGGCTGGAAGGACRCTGCGTGGCAGGTCCAGTGCCGGGCTCGCTGCCCCTCGACGGCTCATGCCTCCCTGTGCCTTGGCAGATCAAGCCGCGGATTTTCCACTACGGCTTAAAACYGCACGACGCCCATTAAAAGGTGCGGTCTTCCCGTGCCTTGATGCAGCGGCTTCCCCACCGGCTTCGGGAGGCCCCCGGGACAGCCCCCGGGGTCAGCCGGGCTGGAGCCGCACCGCCCCCGGCCATCCCCCGCACCCGTCGGCAGGGCGCTGTGTCGCCCCATCTTGCCTCTCCAGGGTCTGCTCCTCCTGCCACACGCCTGGCAAATTGTCCAAGGCGTTGAGGAGATATTCATAGGGTTACAGAAATTAGGGGTTTTAATGCCGTATTTGCACGACTCAGTTCATTCGGTGGGAAGAGCAACGCGCAAACTCTCCCASGGATCGGAGTTAGAAGTGCTGGGTTTTTGAAAGCCAGGAGTTTGAACGTGGAAAGGTTAGTTGGGAGTGAATGGGAGATAGGCAACTGAAGGGCTGTCTTGAGGAGAGTACACTCAGTGAAGAATCTCCACCTCCACGTGTAGCCTGTACTAAAATTAATTTGAATCCTTGAAGAGTTTATTTTTCAAATTTAAGTTGGGCTGTGTCATTACCTGATTTTACCAAAAACTCTGTCAGAGAGACAGTAGGAATTGAGAGTTCTCTCCTTTTTCTCCCTGAGCTTTGGCTCGGGGCTGCAGGGACTCATGCCATTCTGGGGTCCCCTCTCCGGATTTTCGGTGGCTAGTTTAGTTTGTAAGACCTTTCTGTAGAGTAAATTATTTCTGTGAGAAGAAGACAGAAACGTCGAGGCACTACACACTCACTAGAAAGAGGACTTATTTTTTCTTCACCCAAGAGGACGACGCTGGCATTTGAGTAGATATTTGTAACKGTAAACGGTACAGATTTGGCTAGTGGAGATTGGTGCACCACCATTACACTAGGAAAGGCTGAATAAAAATTTTAAGGGATAAATAAACCGGAAAAGGGCAAAAYATGTCAGGTTGACTTGCAGGATGGGACCAGGAAATATTAGCTGGTACGGCTGAGCCTGAGGGCTGAGGTGTACCACGTGCATATGGTTACACCTCTGGTTTCCTGCGGAACCGTCAGCGCTTGTGCAGTGCCATTAAAAAAAATATATATTTTTGGGACGTTCCAAAACTGAAAGCCGGAGCTTAATTTATTCTGGGGACTTGAAAGGAACGAGGTCTTCCTTTGTGTCTGATGCTCCGGGGGAGGGTGTGTGTTGGCTTGGCGCTGAACGCTGCCCGCATCTACATATGTAAACCCAGCMGCGCTTCTCGCCCCCCCGCGCCGGTCGGATTGCAGCTCTCAACAATGCTACCACACAAAGCGAAATGCGCGGAGCCTGCGCGGCTGCGGCTGAATGCAGCCCAGTATTTAGCTCTTGATGTGGAAGGACCAAATCTGCGCGGCGCCCAGAGGAGCCCGGAACTCGCCCTGCGGCCGTCCCGTCCTCCCGCACCGTTATTGTCCCTGGCTGCTGCGGTTAGAGGGGTGGGGACGGGCAGCAGCCAGACGACAGTATCCCGGTTTGCAGAAGAAGGTGTAACGAGAGGCGCTGGCAGCAGCAAAGGCTGCAAATCGCTGTCGTGTGGTTGCTATTAGCAACAAATCAGCTGAACAGCCTGCAAACCCCGAGCACCTAGGGCGGAGGTGGCAGGGAGAGCGCYGGGGCTGGGAAGGCTGGGGTTGTTGGGCGCTTTCCCGAGGGGATCTCCCGTGCCGCCCGGAGCTGCCTCCCTGCAGGACGGCCGAGGAGGGGCAGGGCAAGGGGAAATGCTGCCACCGCCCCGCACTGCGCTCCAGGAGA